GCATGTGATTGAACGGAAGAGCGAACAATATGAACAGTTTCTTCTGGAACCACCCACGAAATATAATTATTGTATAAGCTATGCTACGACAATTGATTCATGTAAACCCATTTTTTTGACTCGGCTAAACCAATTTAAATGCCACCCCAGCGTAGTAAAGGGGTTGGGCCCCCCCCAGGTGGATTCATGTCTCATAGATTAGTTATTGGGTCCTTTTTGAAAAATTTGCACCCAATCCAGACGGAAATGAATCGGTGGGGCATGGGGTTAGGGTTCAGCGAAGGAAAACAGAAGCAACCAAAAAGAAAATGGAACATCTCTAGGGGAGATTGCAATATACTACTAGCTTATAAACAAGTCTTTGTCAAATAATCTCCATCTACTTTATGTCTACATCTTGTCGCATATAGATTTGCAAACATCTTTTTCCCGAACTCAAAACTGAAATAATGCGAGGAGGGCATAATAATAATTATAAGTAGAAGTAGAAGGTTTGATCTAAAATCTAAAAAGAGGATTTGATTGTCATGCAATTGGCAGACGCAAGCAAAAACTGAGGACGCGAAAGATGCAAACAAAAACGCAGGCATCTTTCAAGTAGCCCAGTTCGTATGGGGCCTGAACCAACGAATAGGTCTCCCCACACCACGTGGTTTCTGTAACCAATGCAACCATGTACAGTGTGCGAGTACGAGAGATAAGCATCATGATATTGATTTGCATGGTGGGTTAAGGATAAATAAATATTAATAAAGTGCAGTTACTGCACTGCACAGCAAGTGTGTAAATAGTGAAATGCTGCGAGTACACTTGTAGATAATAGAATAATTGATAAGGCCAAGGCCACAGGCTAAGGCACAGGCTAAGGCTAAGGCTAAGACTAAGACTAAGACTCTAGCAAAATGAAGAAAGAAATAGTAACCGTGGTGATAATATAATAATGATCTGTACAATTGGAGGGAGGAAAAAGAAATTTACCTGGAGGAAACAGGGTTTAAGGCTCTAGCAAGGCCGTTCATGGCCCCGTAACCCTTAGAACTAAAGCCCAAGCAGCCAAGCAGGCCCTGGCGGTAAGGCAGGAAGGTCTTTTTCCTCAACTCCTCGGCTTGGGCCCGGTTGGCTTTGTAGTGCAACTCGTGCGGCGAAGGAGGCACGCGCCTCTTCCCAACACCGTTGGTGGGCTTGCCGCTCATTCTCTTGGAAGGAGGCCCGTTTTTGTTGTCACTATTATTATTATTATTATTATTATTATGGTGAGTGGGCTTGGTGGATTTCTTGTCCTTGATGGGGGAGAAGGAAATGGTGGACCAGAACTTGTTGTTACTGCGGCCTTCGCTTTTGCTTCGGAGAAAATCCTTAAGGAAAACCCAGCGCTTGGAGCTTCTCCCAGCGGAAGAGGAGCGGGAGGAGGAGGCGGAAGGATCCTCGGGTTTTTCCTGGGCTTTATTTATTTGGTTGTGGAGGGGTTGGTGATGGTGATGGTGATGGTGTTGGGACCAGTCGAAAGGCGTGTTGGTCCTGAGAGGGGACATGGATCTGGTTCTTCTGCGGAGGGACTTGTCCCTGAGCCTCAGATCTCTGCCTCGGACCACGTTCACACTCACACCCTCCTCCTCCTCTTGTTCGTCTTCATCCAGATCTAACAAGGGGGCCAGCACCTGGGGGCGTTGGAGGTGGGTAGAGAGCTTCATGGGGCGGATCTGCCCGTTCAGGAAGAGCTCGTCGGCCGAGCTCATGGAACCGGGGGCGGCGGAAGCGGAGGAGCCGAAGCGGGCGGAGAATTCGAACTCGTAGCCGATGGGAGCGGCGGAAGCGGAGGGGGCCTGGTAGGAAGAGGAAGAGGAAGAGGAAGCGGTGATGGCGAAGTGCATAGGGCTGGCGGGGGCGCTGTAGAAGAAGGCGGGGAGAGGGCCTCGGCCGGGGCTGGAAGGGGCGCTCACGTAAGGAGTGGAGCAGCTGCTGTCCAACTCCTCCAACCCATTCTTATTGTTGGAGTCCATTATGAGCAAGAGGAACCACAGACTGTGTGTTCTGTGTTCTGTGTTGTGTGTGAGAAAGAATAATCTCCAACTCCCGTAATACCTCACCCCACGCCGTCCCAATAAATAAATCTTTTACATCAACGCCCATTGCGCCATTTTCCTCTTTTCTCTTATATCCTTAATTGCCCTTCCTACTTTTTTCGCTTATATCTTACCAAATCAGAATTTTTCTTTTTCTTATTATCATTTTTTTAATTATAAACTCTTGTACTTAACTAATTAATGTCTCCCATATTTGCCTCTTAATTATTAATAAATTTCAGACAATCATTAACACTATATTAAAGGAAACTATGTTATAAACATTTTTCTACCTTATTATTTCAAACATAATCATCAATAACGAAATACCAGCCCAAAATATTTTTTTTCTTTATTCACAAGTAAAACATTAAAATGATGGAAAATGACAGAAAGAGAGAAATATTATTTTTTATACAAATAGTTACAAAAGGTAATAGTGAATACACTTATTTGGGGAATTTTAGTAATAAGCTAATAATAGACATGACAAAAGATTTTGATAGAAATCGTTATGTTCATAAAAATAAAAAAAAAATAAAAAATTATTACAATTTAGTAAATTAAACAAATAATGAAAAATGTAATTTACGTACCTTAATAATTAATTTAATAGCCTATTCAACGAAAGGCAGCCACATCACATGCCATGCTTTCCAAATTCCATGCTACACCCTACAGCTTGCGAAAAAACAAAAACAGCTGACTTAAGTATGCTACAAAATCATGATTTTTAAATAAGATTTCAAGTGTTCAAAAATTGTTTTTTTAATCTGAAACAATGTTTCGATAAATTTTTAGAGAAAGAATCATTTCAAACGGAATTTAGACGAAACATCTTATATCCAAAAAATTCTCATATCGAATATCTAATATAAGCAAAACTTTGTTAATACCTTTTTTTTTCACACGCGGTGTCTAAATCCGATATGTTACTTTAAGCAGAGTTTGCCATGATTTGATTTACTATCAAAAGCTTATAGATCGTTTTTATGTGTTTCCCATATTCTAAACAAGTTTGTCCACTCACTTTTGAGCGTACTAATTAATAATCCTGCAAAAAAGAACACGGAATGAATTGCAACTCATGATTGATAAAATCATGCATGAAAATTGTGATAATGTTTTGTTTATGGTGGAAAACGTTCAGAGTCTTTTTATTCGAACTAGCATACGGACACTATTTTAATTTAGGCATTTAACGTGTTCTTACGGAATAAAGTACGGAGCAATTACTATACAGTAAAATATTTTTAATGATTAACCGTTGTTACGCGTTCGTCAATAATCACCAGATAATGATATGCATGTACATAAATGCGCAGAAAAATAGAATGGACAATAGAGATATTGGCAATACATATCATCATTCACGGTATTCAACCTATTACAACATTTTAACATTTGAGTACTTCCAAACAGCGATTGAATGAAAAAGAAAGCTACGCTAATTCTAATCCTAAAAAGAGAAAATACAAATGGTCAAGAGTGATCATACCCAAAGATAATTCCTCGCATGGAAGCCATATGTGCAGGCAGAGAATGCTTTAGAATCTGGTTAAAGTATGAGTTTTCCGACCCTGTAACAATGTAGGTTTCTGGAATTTATAGAGTGAATTAATAGCGGTTAACTCGCTCGGATGCTTCTGCACGTAGATCACTATGGGACAACCGCTGCCCACTACGCTCATTATGGCTTCTAAAGTGTAACTTCTCACAACCGCTCCTCGTGTATATTAACTTCTCAACCAATAACTGTCTTCGAATTCGAATTAGTTATTGTTGGCCTATGTATGACTTCAACTTTTCGATCGTGACTCGAAACAACTCAAACAGGCTCCTTGTACGTCCCCAGCAGGTGTTCATTTTAATATTCTCTCGAGTAACACCTATTCGATTCTTAGAATTTTCGAGTAGACCTAACAAATGCCCCCCTAGGAATTCGATCTTGATGTGCATGCTTGGCCAGAGAGATTCGAATTCCTACCGAGCCTTACTCCAATTACTTAGTCAGAGTCTACATCTTTCGATGAAACCCTATTTTGATATGTACTTTTTGATTTGCAATTAATCCATATGACCGTTTGATGCGACAATCATGGCAAATACGGCGTGTTATTTCCGTTTTCGCTGTTCTCAAAATATTTTGGCGGCTATTTTTATCAATTAAAATTTGAATTAATTCAGAAGCCCATTCCACTCTAGGCCCAATGATGCGTAAATTTTTTTTTTTTTTACCCTGGAGTGAAACTATTTTCACCATTTTACTCTTTTGCTTCCTTCTTGCCCAAGTTAGTGTTTTTCTGTCCCTCCATTGCTTGGTTCTTGATTTCCGGTGACCCTGTTCTTCCTAGTCTCTCTTGTTCTGATGGCCTCTTCAACTGCTTCCACCTCTGCTGCCGTGGCTTCCACAACGTCTCCCACTGGTGTTTCTACTTTATCTCCTATCTTGACCACTGTGACACCTTCTACTGTGGTGACTACTGCACCCGTAACCACCATGGCCACTGCAACTTCCGTTCACGGTACTCCTTTATTAATGGCCAACGCCCAAATCTGCAAAGTCAAAGAGGGCGATGACACTTTTGTTCCAATTCCCGGCATGGAAGAGGCCAGTTTGAAGATTTTTCAATCTCAGGTACTTCTCCCTTTCTCTTTAGAAAGTGGTTCTATTCATGTTTTTCTTGGTCTTTTCGCTGGTCAGAATACGAAGAGGTTTGGTAACACTCTTTTGCCTGAAGATCCTTCTTCCTTACCTTTCATCTATTCTCCTGAGATAGATTTAACCCTTTTTGGAGACACCACTAAGATCTTTAGAGCCTTCCCTCCTGTTAAAGATAGACATTCATCTTGGCTAGCCCGTGTGGAAGCTTCTATGTCCTCTGAATGGAAAGAAACATGAATTTTTGAGTTTATCCAACTGGCCAAGTTCGACCTCCATCTTTTCGACCTTCAGATGCTCCTTTCTGCTATCTTTTTCTGGAATAGAGAAACTCGGGCTTTCGAATTCCCTTGTGGTTTTGTTTGCCCTACTTTGCTCGATATTGCTGCTATAACAGGATTAATGCCTCTTGGAGAAAGATTTCATCCTGATGCGTTTGACGAAGAAATTTCGATCAAGGATGTTTCAATTACTTGGGATAAAAAGACCTATTTAGCTTTTATCACTGCACATATGGGCCCTTCTGGTACGCCTGTTTCCCCTTCAGAACATATTGCTTTTCTCATGTATTGGTTATCAGCATGTGTCTTTTGCACTCCTTCACTCCAAGTCCCAAAATATTATTATAATTTAGCCCAAGCTCTTCACTCGAAAAAGAAGATATGTTTAAGCAAACTTCTCTTGGCTTCCCTGTACACTTGCCTTGATGAAGCTTCC